ATGACTGATGACTGATGACTGATGACTGATGATGATGACTGATGACTGATGACTGATGACTGATGACTGATGACTGATGACTGATGACTGATGACTGATGACTGATGACTGATGACTGATGACTGATGACTGATGACTGATGACTGATGACTGATGACTGATGACTGATGACTGATGACTGATGACTGATGACTGATGACTGATGACTGATGACTGATGACTGATGACTGATGACTGATGACTGATGACTGATGACTGATGACTGATGACTGATGACTGATGACTGATGACTGATGACTGATGACTGATGACTGATGACTGATGACTGATGACTGATGACTGATGACTGATGACTGATGACTGATGACTGATGACTGATGACTGATGACTGATGACTGATGACTGATGACTGATGACTGATGACTGATGACTGATGACTGATGACTGATGACTGATGACTGATGACTGATGACTGATGACTGATGACTGATGACTGATGACTGATGACTGATGACTGATGACTGATGACTGATGACTGATGACTGATGACTGATGACTGATGACTGATGACTGATGACTGATGACTGATGACTGATGACTGATGACTGATGACTGATGACTGATGACTGATGACTGATGACTGATGACTGATGACTGATGACTGATGACTGATGACTGATGACTGATGACTGATGACTGATGACTGATGACTGATGACTGATGACTGATGACTGATGACTGATGACTGATGACTGATGACTGATGACTGATGACTGATGACTGATGACTGATGACTGATGACTGATGACTGATGACTGATGACTGATGACTGATGACTGATGACTGATGACTGATGACTGATGACTGATGACTGATGACTGATGACTGATGACTGATGACTGATGACTGATGACTGATGACTGATGACTGATGACTGATGACTGATGACTGATGACTGATGACTGATGACTGATGACTGATGACTGATGACTGATGACTGATGACTGATGACTGATGACTGATGACTGATGACTGATGACTGATGACTGATGACTGATGACTGATGACTGATGACTGATGACTGATGACTGATGACTGATGACTGATGACTGATGACTGATGACTGATGACTGATGACTGATGACTGATGACTGATGACTGATGACTGATGACTGATGACTGATGACTGATGACTGATGACTGATGACTGATGACTGATGACTGATGACTGATGACTGATGACTGATGACTGATGACTGATGACTGATGACTGATGACTGATGACTGATGACTGATGACTGATGACTGATGACTGATGACTGATGACTGATGACTGATGACTGATGACTGATGACTGATGACTGATGACTGATGACTGATGACTGATGACTGATGACTGATGACTGATGACTGATGACTGATGACTGATGACTGATGACTGATGACTGATGACTGATGACTGATGACTGATGACTGATGACTGATGACTGATGACTGATGACTGATGACTGATGACTGATGACTGATGACTGATGACTGATGACTGATGACTGATGACTGATGACTGATGACTGATGACTGATGACTGATGACTGATGACTGATGACTGATGACTGATGACTGATGACTGATGACTGATGACTGATGACTGATGACTGATGACTGATGACTGATGACTGATGACTGATGACTGATGACTGATGACTGATGACTGATGACTGATGACTGATGACTGATGACTGATGACTGATGACTGATGACTGATGACTGATGACTGATGACTGATGACTGATGACTGATGACTGATGACTGATGACTGATGACTGATGACTGATGACTGATGACTGATGACTGATGACTGATGACTGATGACTGATGACTGATGACTGATGACTGATGACTGATGACTGATGACTGATGACTGATGACTGATGACTGATGACTGATGACTGATGACTGATGACTGATGACTGATGACTGATGACTGATGACTGATGACTGATGACTGATGACTGATGACTGATGACTGATGACTGATGACTGATGACTGATGACTGATGACTGATGACTGATGACTGATGACTGATGACTGATGACTGATGACTGATGACTGATGACTGATGACTGATGACTGATGACTGATGACTGATGACTGATGACTGATGACTGATGACTGATGACTGATGACTGATGACTGATGACTGATGACTGATGACTGATGACTGATGACTGATGACTGATGACTGATGACTGATGACTGATGACTGATGACTGATGACTGATGACTGATGACTGATGACTGATGACTGATGACTGATGACTGATGACTGATGACTGATGACTGATGACTGATGACTGATGACTGATGACTGATGACTGATGACTGATGACTGATGACTGATGACTGATGACTGATGACTGATGACTGATGACTGATGACTGATGACTGATGACTGATGACTGATGACTGATGACTGATGACTGATGACTGATGACTGATGACTGATGACTGATGACTGATGACTGATGACTGATGACTGATGACTGATGACTGATGACTGATGACTGATGACTGATGACTGATGACTGATGACTGATGACTGATGACTGATGACTGATGACTGATGACTGATGACTGATGACTGATGACTGATGACTGATGACTGATGACTGATGACTGATGACTGATGACTGATGACTGATGACTGATGACTGATGACTGATGACTGATGACTGATGACTGATGACTGATGACTGATGACTGATGACTGATGACTGATGACTGATGACTGATGACTGATGACTGATGACTGATGACTGATGACTGATGACTGATGACTGATGACTGATGACTGATGACTGATGACTGATGACTGATGACTGATGACTGATGACTGATGACTGATGACTGATGACTGATGACTGATGACTGATGACTGATGACTGATGACTGATGACTGATGACTGATGACTGATGACTGATGACTGATGACTGATGACTGATGACTGATGACTGATGACTGATGACTGATGACTGATGACTGATGACTGATGACTGATGACTGATGACTGATGACTGATGACTGATGACTGATGACTGATGACTGATGACTGATGACTGATGACTGATGACTGATGACTGATGACTGATGACTGATGACTGATGACTGATGACTGATGACTGATGACTGATGACTGATGACTGATGACTGATGACTGATGACTGATGACTGATGACTGATGACTGATGACTGATGACTGATGACTGATGACTGATGACTGATGACTGATGACTGATGACTGATGACTGATGACTGATGACTGATGACTGATGACTGATGACTGATGACTGATGACTGATGACTGATGACTGATGACTGATGACTGATGACTGATGACTGATGACTGATGACTGATGACTGATGACTGATGACTGATGACTGATGACTGATGACTGATGACTGATGACTGATGACTGATGACTGATGACTGATGACTGATGACTGATGACTGATGACTGATGACTGATGACTGATGACTGATGACTGATGACTGATGACTGATGACTGATGACTGATGACTGATGACTGATGACTGATGACTGATGACTGATGACTGATGACTGATGACTGATGACTGATGACTGATGACTGATGACTGATGACTGATGACTGATGACTGATGACTGATGACTGATGACTGATGACTGATGACTGATGACTGATGACTGATGACTGATGACTGATGACTGATGACTGATGACTGATGACTGATGACTGATGACTGATGACTGATGACTGATGACTGATGACTGATGACTGATGACTGATGACTGATGACTGATGACTGATGACTGATGACTGATGACTGATGACTGATGACTGATGACTGATGACTGATGACTGATGACTGATGACTGATGACTGATGACTGATGACTGATGACTGATGACTGATGACTGATGACTGATGACTGATGACTGATGACTGATGACTGATGACTGATGACTGATGACTGATGACTGATGACTGATGACTGATGACTGATGACTGATGACTGATGACTGATGACTGATGACTGATGACTGATGACTGATGACTGATGACTGATGACTGATGACTGATGACTGATGACTGATGACTGATGACTGATGACTGATGACTGATGACTGATGACTGATGACTGATGACTGATGACTGATGACTGATGACTGATGACTGATGACTGATGACTGATGACTGATGACTGATGACTGATGATGATGATGATGATGATGATGATGATGATGATGATGATGATGATGATGATGATGATGATGATGATGATGATGATTAGTGTGAAGTGTACAAAAAATAAACTACTGACTGATATTAATAGTTTGATATGGCCACATACGTTAACGATTAAATCATAATTTCAGATTTAACATTTAAAACTTCAAAGGGGATCATAAAAGATTCTTACAGTTGAGTTACATTTATTCAAATTAATCTTGTTACATGCTTTGATCACTGTTAACTGCTAATAAAACTCATTTTCAATACGACTGCTAAGAATAAAAATTAGTATTCAGGTAATCAATGTGACAAATCATAGAGTGTGTGGGTTTATGATACTACTTTGAAACCCAGGTCGAATTAACTGGGGTAGATTACCACTCGTTACTTGATATCAACGGTTTTTCACCAACTACCGAAATCATTAACTGATAATTGGAATTTAAATGCTTACACCAATGCTCCACCGTTTCAGTATCTCTAACGTGAAGTAACACGGAATGGAAATCGATTTTTACTGTGTTAGGAACAGTAAAGCTTAGCATGAGAGGTTATTAGTTTCACTTGCTGAAATTCTTATTACTGGTGAAACCACAGGAAATAACGAAGATGAACTGGGAAAAAAAGTAACACACATAAGCTTTTCTAAAATTTCAATATGTGACAAATAATGGTGAGAAAAATACCGGCAGCAGAATTGGTTAATTATATGACATCACTTACCCGTTCAATAATATGAAATATATCTTGAGCTGATGCTTTGGCCAGATGAAAATAACGAAAGTTGGGTAAGGCACTGCCCAAAAATAAGCTACCAATAATAACATTCAAAAAAACCTAAAATCGAATAAATATGAAATATGGTAGTGTAGTTAGTTATTTTTTAAAAACATTACAGTCTATTTCATTCAAAAGAAAAACAAAACAGAGAATCAGTCGTATGCTAGGAAAACATTTAGAGAGTAATAATTTGATCTATAATACTTTATGAACTTAAGCATAAAAAGCTATAAGCAATAACAGTATTTTAGATAACTGTTAGATGAATAACAATAAATTATTGCTTGAAGAATCACGTTAGACAGAATTTTGAAATTTTATGTGTGAATCCTTTATCCATAATATTAATCAAAGTGGAATGAAAACAGATGGTCATGATAACGTAAAAACGTCAAATCACATATGACGAATTCGGTAAAAATTAATGAACTACTGATCACTAGATTCTAACTGATTAAACTTAAAGTAAATAAAAGTTTCAGGTTTGAAAACTCTTGTTCCTATTGAGGAAGTATTTGAGTGTCGATGCTGCTGATAATTATTAAAGTATAACAACACAGACGTACAGTTCATCCCCGGTATTTCCTATTACTGTCTCAATAAATGGCATTTCATAATTAACGCCATCTTAAGCCATCTCAGAAAAACATGAGATATGCATTTTTTTTACTACAGCACCTAGAACTACGCTACCGTCATAAGTGCTAGTTATACGAACATAGATAAGAAAGTAGAGTTATCAATCGATCGGAAGAGGCTCTGAAGGAGAAAACGAAAAACATCGGGGAGGGATACAGAAGACGAATGTAGAAGCCACAAGAATGGAAGGCCAGCTCATTTGAATATTGACTGGAGAGACTACCTCCATGAAATGTGCTCAATATGAGTTTTCATATTATACTAAGATTCAGTGTGATTTCCCAATGAACGATTTTATAACTTTTCATTTGTATCCATACTACACTACCGTATATAATTATCAATAATTTTTATTCTTCATGTTTTATTTAAAGCGTTTTCATGTCTTGATATGTCAGCTTTTAAACAAACCTTACGTCGACACATCCCAAACTACGATAACGGAAAATCACAAATCTTACAAAATACCACACATTTACTGATGATTTATCATGCTTTCTGTGAACAATGGTTTATCGGATTAGTCCGTCGACTTTCAATCAATGGGTAACGGATTCCAAATGTACTCCATCCACAGATTCTCTGGTAACCAAGTAATATCATTAACTTAGTCTGGTAAAGAAATCTGCATATGATTATTGAAGTGTATCACTTATTTGCCATTATCATAGGCCTTCAATGTCAAAATATAAGAAATGTGGCTTATCAATAAACTATCAAAATCTGAAATACATAGATTTGTAAAAGTAGCAAGCTAATCTAGTAAACTGAATTGTTTATTGGTGCTACACACGTATGAACACACTTGTAAAACAAGTTTATTGTAAAAACTCCATGTTTAAATGTGTTTCGTTGTCACACATAAAAGCACTAGTATGATCAAATTATGTGCATGTCGGATGTATGACAGAAAAATAAAATCATACCCCTGATTGAATTCATGAAATCAAAACTACTATGCAGTTAACAATTTAGTATACAATATACAACAACTAATCATGAAATATAGTCTGTGTAAACACAGATATGGAAATACACACAACTTAGTGCGATTATTCAATCTATAGTCATAATATTGTTTTTAGCGCGTTGAAAATTCCTAGTTAAACTTTTAAAAGACCGAGCAAAAAAATATTTCTCTTCGGTTCAACACAAATACATAGGCACTTTACATTTGATAACAAAATACCGCTTAGTGGTGGTAGGTTAACTAACTAAAATGATGATAAATTGAAAGTTACTCAAGAAGCTAATAATTAGAGAAAGAGGATAGAAATTGATGAATACGCTAGCTACATGGGATGGGTAGTAGCACAGAATAAAGTGAAACAAGTTCTTGATTCACTGACCTTATAACTTGAGTTAAGTGGATATATGTTAACTGAATCACGTACTAAAAGGGAAACAGGAAATTAAAAAGATATATAATATGAATTGAAGAGGAAACAGGGTTTTTTGTTGACAAGCAAAAAAATGAAATTAACCCGGGTTAGACGTTAATTTACCCCGATGGCCGCTGTAATGACAGAGATTGTATGAATTCCCCCCGAATACAATGACTTAGTTTGGAAAGGTGTATAGCAATAGCTTCTACCTTCTGTAGCAAGTGACAGCAATGATTAGTATTAATTAGTTTTTTTTAATATTTCTTCCAATGATCAAAAGCTGTTAATGAGAAACTAGATATATTGAACACTGAATTCAAAGAATGTTCATTTTTCATTGGAAGATGGTACGGGCAAATCTGCAAATGTCAAGCTTTTAATAATCCAAAGATAACTGCAGCCAGCAAAATAGGTTACGAAGAACGAAATAACTGAATCAATAGTTACAGGAAAAACTCATAAAGTTCAAAAACTATTCATTAGTTGTCATAATCGTTATTAGCAAAATCATTACCACTTGATAATCACATTCAAAACTAAATTAGTACTTTTAAATGAGACATCTCCCATGTTTCCATCATTTGAATATGAGATATTTACTACGAAAGATTTTCTCAATAAAGTTCATCCTTCCAAGAAATGTGTTTGTCGTATAACGAAGATATAAGAAAAGGGGAAATTTCTCTTCATTAATGCGGTTTTGAAATCCCTATGACCGTTATCGGGATGTACAGAAATTAATTTAAACTAATCGGATAAAAGAAGTGTCCCCTAGAAAACTGTTATACATCTCAAACAATCACCCAGAAATGACGCAGTCAAGTCATACGTACAAAACATCAGGCGAAAATAATGGAAACAAAGAACTGGAAAATTATGTAGATATTACTACCGCTGTCTTACTTAGGGTTGAATACTGAACACATTATCTTTTTAGATAATAGTCAAGTCTAAAATTAGGAATAGCTAGTGGTTTGTTCATGCACAGATGATTTGCGTAGATTCCTGTGGATCAATATTGGGGGACTCTATATATTACCTGGTTTTTGAGCTGGTGAACCACTCATTGACTGTTTAGTCTTATGATCTACAGCTCTACAATTACAGTGTAGTTTTTATGATGTGCATGCTGTTTATTAACCTTTGTAGAGATCTAAAAATTAATTTCATCAAAGATACTAACTTCAAAATGTACTTGATTTCTTTATGAAATGATCAAAAAGGTATCCTAGAAACTTGGCGAGTAATACTGTGAACTGTAAGTTAAACCAAAGTAGGTAGATTACTAGAATGAATTTCTTTAAATTAATGATGACTAGTAGTTTAGTCAAATTCACAAAAATGTCACTACCACGATTTCATGCACATTCAAAAGTGAAGGGAAGCAATTAATAGTAACTAATTAATGAACATTATTAGGAAAATACTAACCACATTCTCACAGGAGGTGCAAAGAAACATTAAGATATTGATAGCACTGAGTATTCATATATTCATATTGATTACAACCATGGAATCAAGTAGACGGTAGATTTCAAACTTGTGTTAAGCACTGCAACAGTTATAGATTCGCAAAAGAGTAATGCAACATAATTAAATAAAAATTCACAGTTGCCAAATTGGTAACAGATAGTTGCTGTTACTATTAGTTATAAAAACACTGATTAAAGTACCTTTTAATGTATGTTGCGAAACAAAATTTGTCAGGATAGAACGATATGGAAACATTCGACTGACAACTTCAGAATTTAAAGAAAGATGTGTTTTAATTATAAATGGAATAACAATAAGTACATTCTACTTCTATGCATCGATATGAAAGTGTTAATAACTGCCGAATATGTGTCAATAAATTTCTGTATGATCAAAAAAATATAGAATTTTATATTTCAGTAATAAAACTGATCTATTTAGCATAGCTCACATACAGAACATGGTTCGATCAGCAATTTTTAGCCTCCTTACAAATCACAAAAGTAAGTTTTACGCCTATATATTACATAGGTCAAATAAACTGTTGTGTCGATTCTTGCTTGTTATTTTCGCTGATCTGTAAATCGACAGCTGGTTTACTACATATGCGTCGAAATGTTATGCTGTCATCCTTACTGCAACGATTACAGCATGTCATTGAATACGACAAGAATTATACACTTTCTTTACATGAGATTTGTACAATTCTATTAGTATCTTGTAAAAAGGTTAATTAGAGAAATACGCCAATTTTTTACGCTTTATGAGATTCAAGTAAAACCCAATTAATATAAGAGTAGAACTGGGGATAAGGTGGTGGCAAAGTATGATCTCGCGGATTATGACGGTCAATATTCAAGCCTGAAGCTACACTGTCTTTTAAAATGAGATATGATCTAACTGAGATACGCAAAGAACCGAATGATTTTAACAAAGCTAGAACAACAAGTTTAGCAGTACACTACGAATTCCTTGTATTTCGTTGCCTTCTTTCCAACTGTGTACAGGCTATAAAATCATAAGATATACTTAGAAAGAAATATAATCCACATAATTCACTTATCAAGATGATAGTTTATTGATGAGAAATAATGAAAGAAATGATACAGATTCGAGAAGTTCAAACGAAATAGTTTGTGATTACTAAAATCGAAGTTATGTTTATATAGCCAGATTGTTATCGGGAATGTTAGTTGTTCTAGTTTTGCTAAGAATTTCTGAAGGAAACCGATTGCATGCGATCGAATGATTATGTTTATATTGAACAATGAAATAACAATCGTTTACAGCGCAGTACTGCCAATTAATATATATTTGACCAAGCTCAGGTTCTGATTTGATGTGAACTAAATATATCTAGATTTCTGAACTCATTTAAGCATTTTATGAAGTGTCAATGAAGCTGTCCCATGTGAATATGCATCCGAAGGAACTTGTATGTAGAAGCATGAAGCGTGATATAAACATAGGATGGCAATGTGTAGTATACGTGCGGGATGTGGTGACCATAGGTTGCCTTCAAAACTAATTTATTCGTTCCATCTATTTCGACTTAAGTAACCAGATTTATCGATTATGTGCACCTAACAATATAATGTATGAATGTGGATTTCACTACTGATTTAAAGCATACTTATCTGTTTAAGTTGTATAAGGATCTCCATTCCAGCTCAACAAAGTTGACAAGCATAAAAGCATACTGTTAAATGAAGTAATCAATATGCACAACGGTATTTTCAGTGTTATTCTCTGAGCTGACGTTTTTTTTAGCAAACGTCTCCGTTTCACGCTAGACGTTATCATCAGTGCATCAGAGCTTCACGAGGAAGTAAAGTAACTGGTTGTTGATGGATATTTATTACTTGTTCATTTGCTTAAAGCAAGGTTTTCCGTACCATGTAGTACACTTAACTATTATACAAAAAGATGTGATTCACAAAGTAGTGACAAAACTTGCACACGGTTATCACGTTACTTGATATACTTCAATTTTGAGGTTTGTGGGGATTTATTGATTTCAGGTTGGTACTTATCATGCACTGGCATCAGTTGGAGAAACATTGGAAACCTATGAGCACTGGACGGCTGCTTCATCGAGATGAGAGCAGTTACTCAACGACGGTATTGGATGGAGGTCGTGCTATATCGTAAACTCACAGAAGTAGGAATTATGAACCACTAGGTTCCAACCCAGTAGCTTAATAGCAACGTGTTGGCTACGGAACCTGAAGGTCTTGGGTTCGATTACTGGCGGGGTAACGAGTGCGCATTACCGAGGAGTCCTATACTAGGATGAAAGAGATGTCCAGTGCTCTCAGGTTTCTAATGTTTCTTCAACTGATGTCAGTCCACGACGAATTCCAACTTGAAATCAATAAATCCCCATAAACCTCCAAACTGAGTTGATCTTGTGCTCATTGACGACTAACTTCGAGAAGTGATTCCCGAAGTTCCAATGAGAAATTGTGGCTGGTGATGGGGCCAACCAAGTGGAACATGAGGACAGTTTCTCGACGACAGCATTCGATGGAGGTCGCGCTATACCATGGACTGACAGAAGTAGGATCCATGCACCATGAGATTCCAACCAAGTGGCTCGGGGGTTGTATGCTAGCCAAGGAACTTAAAGGCCCTGGGTTCGACCCCTGGTAGGGTCATGCGTACGCACTGCTGAGAAGTCCTATACTAGGACGGAACAGCTGTCCAGTGCTCCTAGGCTTCCAATGTTTCCTTAACTGATGTCGTCCCATGATGAATAACAATTTGATATACTGCTCAGAGGTAATATTAAAACATTGTGTTAAAATATGCAAATAATAAAGATATAAATATTTGTACAAGTAAGCATGCAAGAGACGGTGTAAAACAAGGTAATAAAACATTTTTCAGGAGAAAAGCATAACAGAGAACTACAAATAAATAAGCCAAAATATTTCACAAACAGAACTCTTTATACAAGTGTACTGGTGAAAACTACATTTGAAAAACTTTTGTAGTAGACACATAACATAAAGTTGAATATAATACAAAACTGAGGAGTTTTACTTTGTCATAAGTATCAACAGCATAAAAACACAAAGCCAAGAACTTCAGAATGAAACATTAATACAAACCGTTAACTCGATGCTCAAACATTCTATCAAACATAAAACAAACTCTAATAAAAATTAAATAAACCAACATAAAAGCTTGAAGTCACTATGCCCACACAGAGGAAATCAGTCAATAAGAAAATATAATAGAATGAAAATAAGAATGCATGGATGGAGATGGAACAAATTGGTATCGACAACAGGAATATTCCAGATTTACAGAGGGAAAAAGAGTGAATGTGTCTGACTCACTATGAATAATTTTACAAGAGTATTCAAGTAGAAGCTTCAGATGAGAAAATGAACTACTGATATAAAACAAGACTTGTGTGAGCTGCTTAAGCCCCACGACACCTATTGCATTGGCGGTATTTTTGCAGACAGTAAATCGAGCGTTAACTATTTTGGATTGCGTTATGCTTCTGGCCCTTTTTGGTCGTCACATTTCTTGTTAACTTGTAAACGAATCTTTCGTTTAGCGTTTAGGTAGACAAACTGAGGTTCTTGGGTATAACTCAACTTCTACTTTTGCAATTTATCAATTCCTGCGTTTCACAGATTTTTCTCTATTATCCCCCGTTGATTTCTCCTGGTCTACTAAAAAGGGACTATTTATATTACGTAGGGCTTTGAAAGCCGTCGGTAGGATGAGTGCTGTGTCTCTGGCTCAACTGAATAACACTATAGTTAACAGATATTTAAATTTTAGCGAGCGACTATCTACAGTAATTTTAACTGACACCAAGCATCCACTTCATTCACAGCTCTCTCCTTGTATCTCCTCAGGAAGGACAAGAAGAAATTACATCAAACTGTACGCTCATACAGCTAAGTACAAGAATTCGACTGTTCATTACCTGGAACGCATATTATATGAGGAAAAACATGTTAGAACAGAACTCATTTATCTACTTTGAAACAGTTAACAGTGTCATCTCAATAATTTAATTAACAATGCACAATTTTCTCGTTAATAATATTCTTAACACTACTTAAGTTTTTATAATAATACTTCGAAATGTTGTAGAGAAGTATGTATATACATATATTTTATTGTTATTGCAATATATCATGCTGAGAACTTCAAAAGGTACCAAAAATTGTTTGGAATGAAGTGATCACTATTATCATTATTATTATTATTATTAAAATATGATTAGTTCAACGACCAGATGCATTTTCTGTTGCGACTTACAGTATTACGAAATTCTTAACATCTGGTTTCATTAATGAAGGTATAACAAGTTGTTTTCGTTAATCCATAGAATTAACTGCAAACAGAAGACAACAATCTGGTTGCATGAAATTACTTTAATCAAAGAATATGAATATATGTGCAGCCCACCAGTTTACATCTAATTATTATACTCTTGAGATTGACAAACCAGATAGTATGTTGAAGACAAGAAAAACCAATAAGAAAATAGCAACGTCTAAAGTGATAAAATTAGGTGGAGGATGAGAAGCGGAAACAGACAAGAGGAATGAGAACTCAATTTTCATGAGGTAAATTATTTACAAAATCGAAGGATCAGATATCATAAACCATCCCACTACTTACTGGTAAAAATATGCCTTTTACATGGTCTTGTTGATTTGGAATTTTCTACTCATAACTATGGGACGTTGAAATCCGAAACTGGAATAAGAGAATGATTCATCGTCCAACAAACAATTCAATACTAAAAGTAGTACTATACATAGTGGTCATGTTAGCGCAGTAAACAAACTTGATGAGAAGTTCCAAGCGGTTGGAGAAACACTAGAAATTGACTCAAGAACAAGAAAATGGAGTTTTGAATGATGCGACAAGATGGAGAAGTTAGCGATTAAGAAACATAAGTAACTGTAATATTTGATGACCTACGTACAACAGCCTGCACAGAAAACCAGAAATTAAATTTATGTGGGCTTTCTCATAACTCTAGAGTTCCAGTGTCATTTATTTTCATAGTGGTTTCATAGAGTGCTTATTTACAGGTTCATCTCTCAGCCATTATATGTAGGAAATTTGACTACACACTTTAGAACCTTTTTTAGTAGTCCCAGTAATTAACCTACAGCTACATCTCACTGGCTAAGCCCTTGACTGTCATCTGCTTGTTTAGGGTTCAAAGGTTATGGCAGTTGCTGAGTAATATATGGAGTAGTAGTGTCATGTAAGCCCCTCTACATCAGATGTTGCCACAGCTTAGTTCACAGATTTGTACGAGCTCTCCGGGTAACACTTTTGTGGTATATTTTCTAATGCTGATATTGTACCAGATTTGCGTAAAAAATAAACCAGATTAAACACATGTTTTCTACATTGGAACGTTATGGAATTTATGATCAGCTGTGTTCTGCAATAACAGAAAGTTGCATAAGAGAGTGATTTGTACCACATCTGAGTTATCCAAACTTGCATAGTGGCTCAAAAGTTAGTATCCTCAGTAAGTGTCTACTGCCACCTTGCTTCGGTGATAGCTTCAAAATCAATTGCATAATTCCAATGATAAATAACCTCAATAAATTTTGAATTTTAATAATGAACAGTGGTCAGCAATGGATTCCAGGATGCGCGTTCCGTCCTGTTTGGGACTCGTCACCTGGTTGTAAGACGAAACGCGTGTCCTGGATTCCACTACTAACCACTATCCATCATTAATATATAAATGAAACATAGGCTACGTCAAGGCATCCGTGCAGCCAATAGAAACCAACCAATTCGGTCCAATCAACGAAGCAAGTAACAACATAGAAATTATGAAGTTTATTTATATGAACAATGATAAAAACTTTGGCCGAATATTATCGCAAACATTGGCCACTGAGTTAAAAGTTGACATTATATTTAATTTGTGTTTGTGTAAGTCACAACGTGTTTGAAATGAAATTATTATAAATTTTGCTTCAGAGAAGGGCACTAAAGGAAGGCCATTTTTACGCAGTAATTAATTCTATGTAAACAGTATCTCAAGTAATATAGTATACACCCCCACAACCAAGACAACACTGATAACAACAGTAACAAATAAAACAGGAATGGAACTATAGAACCCCCTCAACCGACAAAATATAGTTAGGATTAGTATATTCATCATCACTACTCTCCAATTTACCAATATTGACAACGCGAACAGTAGTAACAGTCGAGTACACACTAACTGACTAAAATATATTAACAGCAATAGTAGTAAAAGGCAGCTTCTCTGATTTAACCCGTATGGCTTAAACTTACCAGAATTACAGATCCTGGGTCGTATTCATCTTGTCTGATTAATGTAACTCCATACCAAAATACCAAAGCTGCAGAAGTGTATACTGACATGCCAACAAATCCACCGGCTGAAATGAAATAATAGTATAAAGGTCATCTATCGCGGGGGACTTTACAAACTGATAATAAAATTTGTTAAATGTTCCTAAAGCTTTGCAGTTTGCGTTGTAAAACATCACCTAAAATTGGGGAATGGATATAGGTTTTTGTATTTCGACGGATCGTTCAAGTGATCATAGTGATTTATTGAGGGGGACGAAACTACAAATAACAATGAAACGAAACTTTTTCCAGAAAAAACTTTTAGACCCCTTTTACCAATAAACTACGACTAAGACGAATGTCTAGAAACTTTACCATACTAATACTGAAGTCAAGTCTGAGTTTAGAGGGTGATCGAAATGCTGAGAAAAGTAAACAACAACACAATTCAAAAAAAGATATCAATGATTTTTGCATGACATTTATCCTAACGTCTTCAGAAACCAATGTCAGAGAAATGGATATTGTAGGCCAGATAAAATGACTATAAAATTACCTGACTGTAGATATATGCACATAAAGCATATACAAAGTTTGAATCTTGCTCTAAAATGTTTTATTCTGAACATGGAAACAAAACATTAAAAATATAGTGCTACTACTTCATTTGGAAGAGCATTGATCATTTTATCCCCGGTGTTTGGAAGCTGCTAGTAATCCAATCAACAAACTCCAAGCTTCCTTAAACAGATAACAATTATGGATTGCAATAGGTGATTGCCTGAACACTAAACCAATTCAAACGTCTTGTTAGGAATAGTTGCAGAAGCACCCTTTGTTTTAGTCATACCCCATTCATTCTTCCAGCGCCAAGTCAAAACAAATTAGAAGCCAAATATAAACAATGGGTGAAGGGTATTGAGAGGACCTAGTTTACCGTTATATGACTGTTGAACATGGAAAATTATCATTCGATCAGTGAAATCACCAACCACGTGATAGTGCTATTAAGCACAGCCACTAGTGAAACAAGCGAATCAGTTTGTGAAATTATGAACAGTTATCGGGTTTGGCTGTTGGGAAACACTTTCATATGCTTAGCCAGCATCTAACGTAAACGGTACAAGTGTATATGATTCAGCCTTAAAGAAGGCCTGGATGGCTTTGTGCTAAAGTCTCTAGCCTCAAAAATTAGCGATGCAGATTCAAATTTTTCAGAGAACTTCAGTTTCTTCAAGGTTGTCAATACACCTTACTGATAAATGCCAAAATAAGTAAAACCCGAAAAATTGTGCTCGAAACTTGATTAAGTAAAACAATACAGTAGATATATCAAATAAACAGGCCTAATATGAAATTACATTTCACCACGTTGTCCAAGTTCTGCACCTGTAAAAATAGTGCACCAAATTATTGTATCACATGGCTTCGTAGACTCATATCAGTTAAAGGACGTGAAAAGTAAATCGATTACCATCTGGTAACCGAGTCATCAACTATCAATGTTAACTGAATGCTCAATAGGATGAAAACATTCAAGTGATGAGGTCAGAGTACGGCACCAATCTACGAGATTCTCAGGGTCAGTCAGAGTTATGCAGGGCATTAATAAGTCAATCACTATCTTAGGCTAGAGGCCTAAGATAACAATCGAAATCAACCATTTGAGGGAGACGCATGCACAATTTCCCTAAAAATCTTCCAATATTACAAATGTTTACGTATGTAAGTCAGATTCTAAGGTGTTTATTTTTATCGAAAGCCTTACAATAGAATGAAAATTTATTATTCTTTATAGTTTCAATGAATCTCGACTCCCAGAAAATCGCGTACCTCTTCCCGATGCACCTGTTTAGCAGTTGATTCTACGTCAATCTATCACCTTTTATTCATATCACATAATTACTGTCTAACATACAAAGACATGCACCAGATAACATGACACTTTTCTTTCTATGGCGGAGCTTCAAATAGCGGGTAGACAGTCTTCTTACTATTCACAATTAAACGTAATGACCTCTATACGTAAACTCTTAGAAACGACGCTGTCTTATCAGCAGACCTAAATAATGTACGAGTCTCACCTCAAATAAATGGCATAATAACACCCTCTTCTAAATTTGTCACCAACTCACAACCAACCTTTGAACAATGTACAAGTTGACTAAAACTTGTGGTGGTCTCTCGTTAGAATCCGGCAGCAGTCCAAATTTTCATTTCACCTTCCATCATCACCCAGTGTCAATATTAGTCTGCCAAACCACGCTACCTCAGATAGTCAAAATGACAAAACTTGTTGAACGGTTAAAAACAGTAGGATGTTTTTGATGAAAAAGAGTAATTACAATACCACTTGGTCATCAGACATAAAACTGTTAATATCCGAAAGTTCCTGATAGTATGTATGACCGAGTCTTTACATCATTCGACTGGTAAATACCCTCGAACTGGTAAGGAAGCACGTGGCGAAATATTAACACAGGGACGCCTTTGATTGCCCCGAATGGATGGAATATGCCAATTTGTTTAAGAAATAAACGTTTTTTTGCATTATAATTCTATCTTTATAAAAATTCCCTTAACCAAGAATACCTGCTTCATATGAGACCACATTAAGCTCATCGCCTTAGACACTTCTATATATGTCAACCACTTGAAAGAACTGCTCCCCAGATGCACCTTCAACATGGAGTTCAAGTTTTTAAACTTATTTCGAACTACCCCCACCTTGATTATCCACAAAAGATGAAAAACATGAGTAGTTCCATTCTTGAATACCTCATCATCTCCAAGCATCTGACCTTTTCTAGTAGTTTCTTCTAAGTAATTTACAGTATCTCCCTACAATTACAAAGGCTTTCAACTGCGTCATCCACACAGCTGAATCATTGGTAATTCACAACCTCAAACATGATCTTTGTTTTCAGAAACATTATGTGCACTCATTAGTTTTAATATGGCCAGAGCAACAACTTTCTTCCACGTCCTAGAACTTTTTATTCTACTCTTGAACACTGTGGTAATCATTTGTTCTCGTTGATTAGTAGTAAACTGTTATCTGTTTCCACTGATTTTAAATAGGATTTTACAGTTTTAGTAAATGAAATCATGAACTGTAAACTGTTGTCTTCAGTATTCAGTACTGAATGAATTCCAACAAACACAGTCAGACTTCGTTATGATATCCTAATTTTTGCGGACAATATTTTTTTAAACACAGAGGCTACATAAAGTAATCAAAAACGATTCAACATTTGCCATCTTATGACACACAAACCAGGAAGAAGGACTGGTCATCCACAATAAAAGAGGAGCGCAGTTATGTTTCTTACGAGTCAAAAACACAACCACAAAACAATGGATTAACGCATTCAGTAAGCCGCTATGAACTCTACTTCAGTCTATTTAGCAGATATAACATTTATTGAAACTATAAGGTAGCAGACAGCTTTCCAGACTTCATTTATTGTCTACAGCACAAAAAATAAAACTCTACAACGCTGAGATGTATATCAGAAAATTCTAGTTTCTCCTATTTCCTTGCTTTAAGAACAGTACACTTCTTCCGATACCGCATACAACAGCTGAGTTAATCCTATTACATATATGCCATCGATTCAGAGGACAAATAGACTATTAAACCCACTCTCTATCTTAGTTAGTTTTCAAAAATGTCATCCTATTAAGCTTTAGTGTGTGGCCGTGTATGACTGAGCTCTCCACGAAATTCGTTATCTTACTAGGGTGTAAGGCACTACATTTAGCAAGTCTCGAAACCCTGATGACCCGTTTGACCCGGATAGATCACTTCAACCCGAATATCTGACTTCAGTGTCATTACACAGAATTACTGATGGACATAAAGCTACGAAACTGTTTATTTTACAGAAATAACCGTCACTAACTACCCTGTGGATTTTCCGAGAAAAAATTTTCATGCTGCTGTCTGAATAAAAGCAGTAACAAACAAACGACCGGTTTTTATCATTTTCTTTATATTTATCGACTACTTTTTCCCATTCTCTTATGTAATTTATCTATAATTATCTAAATGAAAGATTTCGCAACTCAAATCTAAAAACAGCACCATGAAGAAATTTATATGTAGGCTTCCCATACAACCAACCTCGCCTTGTTAACTAGTTCACTAGTTACTAGCCGGTCCCGAGCCCAGATAAAGGGGGGGCTGGGTGTAGGGCCAGCAACCCCATCCCGTAAAACAAATCTAACCGCTAAAGAAACTTCAAAGCACAAACAAAACATAAAAAATGAAAACAAAATTGCAAGGGAGATGAGAAGGTATAATTTTTGGGTGCTAGGAATCTGCGAAAGCAGATGGAATGGAAGTGGACTCTCCAAACTGTCAACTGGAGAATCAATAATCTACCCCGATATTGTCACCCAGACGACAACCACGAGCACACTGAATCATGGAGTGGCTATCATGATGTCCCCAACAGCATCGAAGGCTCTCATGCAGTGGGAACCAATCTCCTCTCGCAGGATCATAACAGCAAGGTTCAACTCAAAAGGAAGGAAGGTCACAATCATACAATGCCACGCTACACACCTACAAATAATGCAGAGCAAGAGAAGAAGGAGGAATTCTACAGACAACTTCAATCAACACTGGACAAGACCCCATCTCAGTTGGCGATATCAAAATTCTAATGGTTGGGGTGACTTGAATGCCAAACTGGGAGGGGACAACACAGGAAGAAAACTAACCATGGGTCGAGAAGCTCTCGGTGAGGTGATGAACGAGAATGGAGAATTGTTTGCAGAATTCTGTGCATTCAACGATTTGATGATTGGAGGCAGTGTGTTCAAGCACAAGGATATCCACAAAGCGACATGGATTTCAACGTTCACCAGATGGACACACTAAAAATCAAATCGACTTCATCTCAATCTCAAGAAAGTGGAGACGCAGTCTACTTAACACAAGGTCAAGAAGAGGAGCAGATGTAGGCTCACTCCACCCACTATCCAGTGCAAGGAACCTTAATTCCAAACCAAGTTGAAAGCCTTCAAGGAAGCTGGTGATAGACCGCAGTTCAAGTACAACACTCAGAAACTGAAGGACAGAACTACAAAGGAAATCTTCACATCAGCCATGAAGACAAAATGGGAGATATCGAGGAACATCCTTTAAGAAACCTGTGTGGATGAACACTGGAAGTCCTTGAAAGAGATGTGGAAAGAAACCTGAACAGCTGTATTAGGAAGGAAGGAGAAAGAACACAAGGAATGGATGTTAACGGACACATGGAAGCTGATAGAACAGAGAGAGGAGGATGGTGAAGCAGAAGATAAATCAGTGCAAGGATGCACAACGAGAAGAGGAAACGAGTACAACGTATAAAACACCACACTGGACAAAGAAGTGAAGAAGAGTGCACGCAAAGACAAAAGACACTCCTACGAAACACTGGCAAGTGAAGCAGAACAGGCTGCAGGCTGATAGGAGAGACCTGACAACATATCAAATAACCAGGTTGCTATCTGGGAAGAGATCAACACACACATGCAACCAAGAGAAGATGATGATGGAAATTCAATTACGAAAGAAGAAAAACAAAGGAAACAATGGGCTCACCACTTCAAGAAGCTCTTGAATCGACCACCATCAACACCTGCACTTCGTCCAGAAATACCATCTACAGCCCAGCTGCTGAACTACAAGTGAACATAAAACCTTCAACAAAAGTGGAAGTCCTGAACGCCATAAAGCTACTGAAATGCGGGAAAGCAGCAGGACCAGATGGGATCCCACCAGAAGCACTGAGAACAGACGCAGACAACAGAGGACATGCTCAGACCACTATTGCAAAAGCTGTGGAAGGAAGAGAAGGTACCTGGCCATTGGTTGGAGGAAGGGTTACCTTGTCAAACTGCCGAAGAAGGGCGACCACAGTGTTTGCAAGAACTGGCGCGGAATCACTCTCCTGTCCACCCAAAGCAAGCAAAATATTAAGCCGCGTCATCCTGGAGAGGCTTAAGGATGCACTGGATTCAAAACTACGACCCGAACAGGCTGGCTGGCTGGATTCAGGAAGTACAAATCATGTGCCGATCAAATTGCAACGCTTCGCATCATCATAGAACAGAGCACAGAATGGCAGTCAACTCTACACCTCAACTTTATCGACTTTGAGAAGGCCTTTGACAGCGTCGACCGAGAGGTAATTTGGAAACTGCTTCATTACTACAGAATACCACAAACCTTTATCCGCCTCATTCAACAACTATATGAAGACGCCACATGACAAGTAATTCACAATGGACAGCCCAGCTCAGTGATGTTTTTGAAGTGAAGACAGGAGTGAAACAAGGTTGCCTACTATCCCCCATGATATTCCTGATTGTGTTGGACTAGATCATGCAACAAACTGTAAGGAGCGAGAAGAGGAGGATACAATGGACTGCGGAAAAGAACCTAGAAGATCTGGATTTCGCCAACGATGACTTGTGTCCAATGTCACACAAACTTGAAGATCTACAGGCGAAAACTAACAAGTTGGCAGAAGAGGCAGCGAAGACGGGACTTTCTTCAGGTGAATATAGAGAAGACAGAAGTGATGAAGATACCGCGCCAACAACAACAACAACAACAACAAACTCCAATCACCATCAACGGGAGAAACTTAAAGGAAGTAACCTCCTTCATCTATCTAGGAAGCACTGTTTCAACTACAGGTGGCACAGACGAGGATGTCAAAGTCAGAATCGGAAAAGCAAGGCAGGTGTTCATTAGGCTGAAACCAGTGTGGAGATCTTCTGCATTCAGCACAAAGAGTGAACAAGATCCGGATTTCCAACACCAACATCAAGTCAGTGCCTCTGTATGGCTCAGAGACTTGGCGCGTTACGAAAGGCATTTCCAATAAACTACAGACATTCATCAACAACTGCTTAGGCTCGCTACTGAGGATCAAATAGCCAGAACAATGAGAATAAGCAACAAGGAGCTCTGGGAACGAACCAACCAAGAACCTATCGCTCAACAAATATGCAAAAGGAAGTGGAGATGGATTGGGCATACACTAAGAAAGCAGACTGGGGACATCACGCGTCAGACCCTCGAGTGGAATCCCCATGGAAAACGACGAGTTGGACGTCCGAGAGTGACATGGAGGAGATCGTGCGAGGAGGAAATGAGAGGCTGTGGGCTGTCGTGGAGCCAGGTTCAAAATATTTCAGAGAACAGATTGGAATGGAGACGTGCTACTGAAGCCCTATGTTCCATTAGAAACCCAAGGGACTAATAATAGTAATAAATTCCCATACAACCAGGACTATTCACTTAGTATTAATTCATATTTTAAGATCCATTCTGATATAATTTCAATGATTTGTTGCTTAAAAAGACTAAATCCACACAAAATTAATTTATTTTGTGTCACACCCAAGATTTTAATTGTGTATATCAAAATACAGCTAGATGATATGGGATAAAGTGAAAAATGAACAACACAGGACCTGTCATAACTACTAATCAGTTCAAACCATATTCGTTAAAATTAGCTAGAAAAACGAAGTCAACAAGATGTTGGTAAAACAAATGAAAGTAATAACACTAAGAGTCCTAGACAAAACAAAAACCCTTTGTTGTCTAAGTGAAATCGACCCCACATATAAAAGAACAACCACATAATCCACATGCATATATTACCTTCCTTCAAATACCCACAATGAATAGTACTTTCTGTATTGCTAAATTAAGTTAATATTTTAATACTTTTTGAAGTTATACACAATCAGAACTTACCAAATCCAAGATAACCTGCTTGTTTCACACCACATACAGTGGTATCATCCAAAGTTTTGCTATAACGTAGTATTTCTTTACTTTCGCCTCCAAAGGAAATCACCGTCCGTATGGCACTCAGAACTTCCTCTGCAACTGCACTAGACTTAGAATATGCATCTTTTTCTTTCTGCGTAAACTTTCTTACAACAATACCAAACAAAGAGAAACCAATGAGTACCAGCGGCAATGTTGCACAAGCAACTAAAGTAAGCTTCCAACCACATGTAAATGCAATACATAGGCCAAAAAAGAAACTTGAGATATTTTGAATAAATTCATTTAGCTTCTCCCCAACGCCAAGGCGTATGTTCGTTGTGTGTTCAGTTAGTTTATCTATAAGACCTCCGATGTTTTGTTTATCTATCCACGCTACTTCTTGACTTAATATAGCCTATAAAAATAAGCAAAGTACAGTTTCCTATATATGATTAAAAATTATTTTATGAGGTTAGCCTATACGACAGACGGCTGATAACGGATGATAATGAACCAAAAAAGTGCAAATGGAAAACACAATATTTGCTAATAATTTCTTTTGAATATTCTGTCTGCTTACTTCCTCCAACAACTGAACAACTTCAAAAGCCATATTTACAGTCTTGGCAAGCAGAAGGGTTCTGCGTGTCTTATGAAACCAGTCTTCCTAAAATAATTTCCAGCTTCAAACAATTACGTCACTTGTTGGCCCCTAAATATGTTTATGATATGCTCTTGAGAGTTTGACGGTAGTTTTTGTTTTACCTTTGGTTAACAAACAAATTCTGAGGTGAAATGTAGATTTTGAATCAAAGGAAGCAAATAACCGACAACATTTAAACATGTTGCATCTTTCAAACCCATGCCTAAACTGATCTACAGTGTAAGATGGCACTTGAATACAATAAATATCCATCTAGTTACTTAGAAACAAGCAGTTACGTTCATGATCATAAAAATTACTGAAGACTAGCCAATTTATTTAATTAAATCCAGTTTCACCGAGTATACTTAATAAGTTTACACATTATAATGCATTCAGACCCGGCAAAATACTGCTAATTTCCTTAACACCTGGTTTATTGGTAGTTAATACGAAGCATGATTCACTTATCAGTCAATTAAGTTATGGCACTAATCTTGGTGAAAATCAAGATTATTTTTGGAAATTCGCCGAAATTCATGTAATGAAGAAAGCTAAGTCATCAGACTGAGACACTGTACCAACTTGTGGAAATATCAGTTAATAATTTGGACTGTGTGAAGAAGTGTAAATTAACTCGTTAGACTCGACAGAATCCTTGATATTAGTTGTGGCTGAATCTTGAAGATAGCATCACTCAGCACAAATTTAGGTCATAAATTTTACGGAACATAAGAAATGGTCGTCTAACAACAGTATGGAGGAAGCACATCGTGAATGAAGCATAAGAATCTTTAAGTGTCGAACGAAGTGCAAAGAGCGATGCACCAGCCCTGAAAATCGAAGCAATAATTTGTTGTGTAAAATCATTCAAGCAACTATTTCTGCATAGGAATAGAGAAGTCCCTATAACTAGCAAAGCATTAAGGAAACCAGTAGGGTATGCAATGTCCCCTAAGAGTTTTGCAGGTAAAAAAAATAATAATAAATAGCTGCCACAACAAACTGAGTGGTCTTAAATTACCACTGAGGCAGACTGGTTGCTAACCAACAAGAATTTAATATTGGTAATAACAAATTTACGCTACTCCAAACTGTTCCCGTTCACACTACAAAATATCTCAGCATGTGATATTGCGAAACTCAATTCTTGTACAACGAATAACATTTCATAAACATGTTCTGTTTCCCGTATTTTGTAGGGGTGAATCAAACTATGTTAAGGGAATCTGGAAAATATATGGTTAGCAATACTTGGCTCGTGAAACTAATTGATTTACAGCCACTAGGATGAATCAGTTTGTTTCTTCGAGACAGTAACGTAAAGAAGTCATTTTAACTATTCTGTTGGCAGTCACAATGACAAATTAAAAATCTAACTTATTTGCTCAACAAATGCATCTTGCACAAATGTCTCCTACCCTCCTATTTTTATCGATATGTATTTTATCACTAAACGCATTTTCAAAGTTGTAAGATTTCAACTGCTTGTCCAATTACAAGTAGTAAGTTTTAACTGCTTTTCTTATATCTACCGTTTCTCTAGTCTCAAGCTGCCAACTATATATATATATATATATATATATATATATATATATATATATATATATATATATATGGAGTAACTACATTATAACGTAATAAAAAAAACAGCTCTACAAAGTTCTAGAAATCTCACACCTGGATCAGCAGTTGTCTGATATGCTTCACTTGTCGTGAAGAACTGGTGTTGGTACACCACACTTGAGCAAGGGATGTTATAAACGTTGAAGCTGCAACAGCTGCAAACCATGCCGATGTAATGTATATTTTTCCATAGGATACGCCTAAAGGATTCATAAAATCATTAACAACCCAACGAAAAATCATGATTGACACAGGAAAAGAAGCCCCAACAACAACAGTAAGGAGGATTCCAGCATAAAACATCACAAGATCGCTGGAACTGGCATGTATGAACTAGATGTAGTACAGATTATTTGCTACAAGTAGAAAACTTACCAAATCCCTATATTTGATAATGTGCGCGTGTGACCTTTAAAGAAATAATAAATACACATTACCAACAGTTACCCTGCGTCTTTTTCTTCATACAAAAGACCTGAATGACAGTTATCACATGCCTCCGATGTCTCATTATTAGCATCCAAACGCTTTCGTACCATTTTGAAACAACAACTATCTAGATACTACTTTTGTAACTACCAGTTGTAGATAACTGACAAACGATAGAGCTGGACAACGAAGAAGTGAAACAGTCTAGGAATCGAAACTCTAAGGCGAATGAGTAAAATTTCGAACGCGCTACACTTTTGATCCAGAAAATGACCCTGGGATCAACGCCAATACGACCTACAAAAAGAAGTACTAGTATCCAATACCCAATATCTGTATAACGAGCTTGTGTAAACCAGTTAATTTCTTCTTGCTCGCTTCTTGGCCTTGCGGAACTGTCCCAGGTCTTTGTAGGGTTCCAATGCAGTAGATCCAGCCACTCGTCTGCTATAGCTCTGGTATACAGAACGGGAGTTTATGTATCGGTTAGTTCGCCTTGGACTGCGGTACAGTACGCTTCCTCAGATGTCTAGTTGCCAGACATTTTTTTGGATTGGTCGTTAAAGAGCGTTAAGGACAGTGAAGCGAAAACCTAGAAAGGAAGATGCTTATGAGTAAGAAGGAAAAGAAAAGGGGGTCAAATGGAGTAATCTTACACCAAAGCAAGTTGAGGAGGGTTGCAAAGATATGAAGAACTTAGGTAGGTAAGGCTAACTCACGGCAAGTGGAAGGGTGAAAAGAGCTTAAATGGCCACTGTAGAAAAAAATCTGGTTACATGGGTAAAACAGTTGGAATGGCCTGACATCAGTTGATTTCTTCTGTTTAGTTCGTGTTGCAGTTATATGTGAGAAGACCGTGTGTCTCTGAATGACCATTTAGCCTTTTCTTGAAGCTTTCAACAGATGTGGTGGAGACTACCTCTGCTGGTAGTGCGTTCTATTGCCCGCAGACTCGGAGGGGGAAAAAGTGTGAACGCTTATGAATTTTTGAACTTTGGTGGGCAATTCTCTCAGGGTTTCCACGAAGATCACCATAATGGCCATTCGGTAGTAGTCCTCCGCTTGGGTGACTTGGGTTGTTCGGTATTTTCTAAGCCATTATCAAGTTACCTCGTAACCTTCGGTAGCTAAGAGAGTATAGGCCTAGGTCCTTCAGTCTATCCTCACATGGTTTTCGTCTCAACCCAAAGCCCCTTTTGTGGCTCACCTCTTAGCCTTCCCCGGTAGGTTCGTGTTTCCTTTAAGTTGTGGTAGAGCGAAGATATTGTGGACCCTGAAGTGGGGTCGCATGTGAGTCTTGTGGGGCTTCATAGAGAGCTCCATGGTGGGGGCACCCAGTTGTCTGCGTACAAAGTGTAGTACACCGTATGCTTTTGAGGCATCACCTGCGTGATTGGGACTGGTGTCCAGTTTCTCCATCACCGTTAGACCCAGGCCATTTTTTGCAGTGGTGTGGGATAGTTGTGAATTACAGAGAGAGTAGGACACTGTCTGGGGGATCAGGAGTGCGAAGAAACATGAACCGGCACTCATCTAGGTTAAATGCAGTTCGTTATTTGTTGCCCACTCCTCCAGTGTTTTGATGCCGTTCTGTAATGCATTCGTTTCCGCTTCACAAGTTACTGCCGCCAACAACTTGATGTCATCAGTGAAGTGGACAGTCGAAGAGCTGATATGCAGTGGGAGGTCATTCACGAACAGTAGGAACAATAATGGACCCAGGATTGCTCTTTAGGGACACAGGACGATGGTGTTCTCCAAGTTGAGTGGCCCCTGTTGACTTTTGTGCAGAACTCCCCACTATCTAAGTAGCTCTGCAGACACGGTAGCGCTCGGCCGTGGATACCTAACCCAGCTATTTTGTGTATTAGGATGGTGTGTGAGACGGTGTCAAAGGCCTTGGTGAAATCCAAAAAAATTGCACGGACCGGGACCTTCACACCCTAATATGTTGTCCGGAGACCACGGGCCGTCGAAAGGTCGGACGCATAGAACCTACCCTTTCAGAAGCTACGCTGAGTGTCACCAAGTGCTTGCTTCGTGTCCAGGTATTCTCTGACGCAGTAGTCTATCATGTTTTCCATAACTTTTGGTACTACGAGTAGAAGTGCCATGGGTCCGTACAAGTTTGGATTCTGCCTTTTCCCCCTCCCTTTGAAGATAGGGGAAAGGACGGCTCATTTCCACTCCCATGGGGGCTTTTGTTTGCCTACGGAGTACTGGGAGAAACTGTGGAGCGGGCCACTTAGGGTACTTTCGCCTTCTTTCGACACAGATGGGCGAATGTCATAGCACCCTGGGGATTTTCCCGGCGCTTAGCTTTGATAGCCCGCCGACAACGACAACGCTAGTTATCTGTACTTCTTGCAACTCTACAGCGTCGGATAGCTTTGGGGCCTGTTTGGGCAGTAGGTACACATGCTACGCTGTGTGTCGAATGCGGTGCTCAAATTTTGGCCGTCTCCTCTCCAGGGAGGTTTCCTTCGTTCTAACCTTTAATGATGTATGCTCCTTGGCTTGTCTATTTTCCCTTTGTCATGATTCGTTAAGGTTTTTGGGGTGTACCCCAAGTATCTTGGAAAGTTTGGACTGGAAAGACCCCATGTCTCCCCACACCCTGATGTGGCTTTGATTTCGTAGAGCTACATATACGTCGTGATCGTCCCCTTCTCTAGAGAGTCTCCATTCGTCCCGTGCCTTTCTTTTGGCTTTTAGGAGGTGCCCAGTACCTCGTTTTAGCCATGCGATCCTCATTCATGGTGCTGTTACCGCCAACGGGACGTTTTGCGACATCACCACCTGAATGATGTCTCTTACCAGCTCTCAGTGTTGGCCAACTGATAAGGGGCACCAATTCACGGGCCACGGAGCTCTCAATAGGCTTTGCTTCAATCCTTCATAGTTTGTAACAGAGGTAATGGCAAAGTCTCTCCCATGGTAATTGTTCACCGACTACCAGGTCAAGCAATACCATAGCATGATCGCTGCTTCTAAGGGGAGCTCGAACCTGGACTTATTCAACCAGAAGGTGATCACTAGTCAGTGGGTAATCCGGTTTAGATGGTACACCATCCGCCCCCAAACAGGTGTAGTCGCTAAATTTTCCGTGTAGTCCAACCATTTGGATGGCGCCCAGCAGGTTACAGTCGGACTTCCGGCTCGGAGAACCTCACCTGATTAACTAGTTCACTAGTTACTAGCCGGTCCCGAGCCCAGATAAAGGGGGGGCTGGGTGTAGGGCCAGCAACCCCATCCCGTAAAACAAATCTAACCGCTAAAGAAACTTCAAAGCACAAACAAAACATAAAAAATGAAAACAAAATTGTTCCTCTCCGGAATCAGAGAGGCGGTTGGTGAAAACCTTCGGAAAGCCAATTGGACGATCTGTCTTCTCTCTCTCGATGAAAGCGAAAGTGAGCGTGGGGGCATGGAATGTCCGCACCATGTTTGAAGCTGGCCAGCAAGGCTGCCCAGATTGCAAGGGAGATGAGAAGGTATAATTTTTGGGTGCTAGGAATCTGCGAAAGCAGATGGAATGGAAGTGGACTCTCCAAACTGTCAACTGGAGAATCAATAATCTACCCCGATATTGTCACCCAGACGACAACCACGAGCACACTGAATCATGGAGTGGCTATCATGATGTCCCCAACAGCATCGAAGGCTCTCATGCAGTGGGAACCAATCTCCTCTCGCAGGATCATAACAGCAAGGTTCAACTCAAAAGGAAGGAAGGTCACAATCATACAATGCCACGCTACACACCTACAAATAATGCAGAGCAAGAGAAGAAGGAGGAATTCTACAGACAACTTCAATCAACACTGGACAAGACCCCATCTCAGTTGGCGATATCAAAATTCTAATGGTTGGGGTGACTTGAATGCCAAACTGGGAGGGGACAACACAGGAAGAAAACTAACCATGGGTCGAGAAGCTCTCGGTGAGGTGATGAACGAGAATGGAGAATTGTTTGCAGAATTCTATGCAATCAACGATTGCACACAAGAAGTTCGCAGCAAGTAACATTACTGTAAATGTTGTACATGAGCACTTTTCCGTTGCGGTACTGTATGTTGAGAATACAAAATGTAACGGCGAAAATCTACCAATCTTGGCCTGAAAGCGTGAAACAGCCAGTTGGTGCCAACTCTTACGTGAATCTGACAAGTTTCTGCCTTATACTGTATAGCTCTCGAACCTCCGCGAGTGACGCACAGCCGAAGTTTGGATCAAAACATCAAAACACGGCTTGTGGTAAATCAGTGGTAGATTCGTAACAAAACCTGTTGTACCATCAAAGCAACATTAGGTCACACCAAAATTACAAAAACACCTCAACAGTCTAAACGTTTTTGGGCACAAATACTTACCATTCGGTGAAAACTGGTTAAATAAATACAATTAAGTACCTGAGAGTCAATAAGAATGTTCCAGACAAAAGGGACCACATCATTTCTATTGTCCACTGCCTTCCATGCTCAAAGATACACGTCGTCGCACCTCATTATGATACCAATAAGAATAGTAATGTACCTTTCATACCACATCGGCTGCATGCAAACACCACCTCACAGGTACGGCTGCCTTGGTGATTTGAACTCACTGCCATGACCAAAAACGCGCACAATATCAGTTGTTAAGGCACATAAAAAATGGGTCTTACTATAGAATGTTGTTCTTTCGCAGACAACAACGAATGAACTAGCTAGACACTAATGACAATGTTCCGTAGAATAAAGCGAGTTCTGTTCGAAATCGCCCGTTCAGCCAGTCCTCGACTACTAATGAAGATAGGAAAAGTGGTACAGTCATGACCCTGAATCCAATGAGTCTTTCATAAAGTTCTGATGACATGATGTACGCCGGAAATTACGATTAACAGCAGAGGCCCGATCCATTTTCAGCTGTCCAAGATTCTATTTGCGGTAAACCGTTTCGGAGTATCTTATGGACTCTGTAGCTCGGTTGGTAGAGTATCGGGTTGTTAACCCGGCGGTCGCCGGTTGGAATCCGGCCGTGGTCCTAACTTTCATTTCTCCTTCAATCATCACCCAGGATAAATACTAGTCTGCCAAGCTACCGGCCAGACGGTCGAGTGATATCTTGTGGCCATTTTCCTGGTCCCTTCTGTTCCACAACTTGATGCCGTTCGCAAATGGAAGGATAAACGATGGAACACGCGCTGAAAATTTGTGTATGGATATGAAGAACAGAAGTTACCTAGTGTTCTCCCCTTTATGATACCCCGTCACTGAACTCTTCTAGACTGACCTATTTCGGGTCTCTATGATGGTAAGCTCTCTGTTTCCTAAGCGTTCTGAATAAGTGCAGC